AGTAATGAAGTCACTCCTGAGGTTCACCCTTCAGCCAAAGATTAGACAGGCCCATAAAACAAAACAAGACTAAAGGGGCACACCAGCCCAGGGGCAAGGACTAGAAGGTAGGAGGGGACAGGAAAGCTGGTAATAGGGAACCCAAGGTCGAAAAGGGAGAGTGTTGACATGTCGTGGGGTTGGTAACAAATGCCATAAAACAATATGTGTACTGTTTAATGAGAAACCAGTTTGTTCTGTAAACCTTCATCTAAAGTACAGGAAAAAAAGAAAAGAATGTCAAAAAGAAACACAGGCTTTCACCACCAGCAATTTTACTGTTGGTATACAGGTAATCTATCGATCCATCCACACTCTGCTCACCAAGTTTAAAAGTTCCCGAAGCATTTCTAGCGGAATATCGAACTCCTTATAGGTAATGCCATTGAAAAGAGGAGAAACTGAGAAGCTGGAACTGACAGTGGAGAAGTAGTAATCAGGCTCCAGGGCACTCCCATCAGGTAAGCAAGAGACTGACGGAGAGAAAATGGGTAAGTAAATCATGGTCACAGATAGCCAGAACACTTCTTCCTGCCAATTCCCTCAATAACCAGCAAAGGTGCAGAGTCTGCTGTTTTTTCTTTTTTTTCCTAAATTTTGTTTATTCTGTTGTTTTTGGGAATCTACACAGCAAAACATACACCAATTCAACCATTTCTACATGTACAATTTAGTGACACTGACTATACTCTTCGGGTTGTGCAACCATTCTCACTCTCCTTTTCTGAGTTGCTCCTCCCTCATTTAACATAAACTCACTGCCCCCTAAGGTTCCTATCTAATCTTTCGAGTTGCTGTTGTCAATTTGATACCATATAGATAGTTCTTAGAAGAGCATAATGCCCAAGGCAGACCTTTTTTACTAGTTAAGCTTAACTATTGTTCGGTTTTAAGATGACTTCAGGGGATATTTTGGTTTAAGGTTTAAAGATTATCTCAGGGCAATAGTCTCAGGGGTTCATCCACCCTCCATGGCTCTAGAAAGTCTAGAGTTCATGAGAATTTGAAATTCTGTTCTGCATTTTCCTCCTTTTGATAAGGAGTCTTCTATGAAATAGTTTGCTCTTTTTTACGCTCCAATTCCTTGTTTGCTTTTTAGTTAAGAAGTAAAGGTCGGATTACATACCCTAGGGGAGCAACAACTGCCACCTGGGTGTTTCACAAAGGCTCAGATATGATCATGTCCTAGTATTACACAAAATAACTAAACATTTGGGGAAAAAATTACACCTTTTTAAAGGTTGAGAGATGTGGAAGTTCAAGGTCCACAGGACCCCAAAGATAGTTACCACTAAAATTAGAACAAAAACACACTCTACTAGAAGTTTCAAAGTCAGAACAAAAATAGTCAGCCATCCAACACATAATAAACATGAATCCAAAATTGTATATATAATTGTTTGAAAATCCATTATTAAAACGCTATGAGAGAAGACCATGATTAGAAAATAAACAAGTCTGTAGTATTTTCATATTCAACTATATTAGAAAACATGAATCTGTAAAGCACCAAATAATAAACGTTATGACTTTCTCAAGCAACTAGAGCACAGAAAAAGCTGAGTTGCATTTACCCGACTGTGTCAAAGCTGGTGTGTGGTCCTAGATGCTGGTGACAGTCTGCTGACCTGACTAACGATGGTCTGAAGGGAGCCAACCAGCAATGCAGCACAGAAGGGGGGGGTGATAACACCAGAGGAGCTGAAATGCTGGAGGTCCAGCATAATAAGTGACCACTGATGGAGTGAATGAGTGGGGCAGGGGGTGCGGGGGGACAGCCGATATAAAGCAAGTGGGTGGGTAGGAGGTAAGGAGCTGTGACCAGAGAGCATTTCCTGGCAGCACCATGAATAAGGATGGAGTCCTAGGTGCTGAGCCAGGTGTGGTGGACACTGATGGAAACAAAAGACTAAAACTGCAAAACTAGGGGATGTGAGGTTTGTGATTTATGCAGGGACATGGGTGTCACTGCAAGTTTTTAATAAGCAGGAAATTAAATGATCAGATTTGTGCTTTTAAAAATAATTCCTTTCAAGGTGATAAGAAAATTTAGGAATGGTTAATGGTAATGATTGAGCAACACAATGAACATATTTAATATCATTGAAGTGTACATTCGAAGACTGTTGAAATGGCAACTGTTATATTTTACACAATTAAACAAAAAGTTGTTGGGTGGGTGGTACAGATAGTGAGGGCTACTTATATTTGAGAGTGAACTATATTTAATGTGTTCAAGAAACTAGGGTAATTTAACGTCAACATGTAATATTTTAGGCAAGTTTTTAAATTCTGCCATTTAATTGTAGTAAACAACTATTAATGAAAAAAATTCTTATGGCACTGTAGAAGGGGAACTGAAGAGGGAGAGGAGAGACGAACCCTAAGTGTGTGAGCCAAAGGGAAGAAGTGACATGTTGGCCCTACGTCTCCTCTGCTTTCAGAGAGCAGGAAGCGTCCACCTGCTCCCACCTGCAGAGAGGATGGCACAGCATGGGGCTCAGCCAAGTGCACTGAATGAAGGGATGAAGCACGTAGTAAGCCTGCACCTGGGCAAGCCTCACTCTCATGAATAATTTGAGGGGCTTACAAGAGGGCAGCCCTGATGAAGGGGCTCAACCACAGAAAGTGGACAAGAGCTGTCTATCAAGGAAAGAGAAGTCTTCAAGGGTTACCATGGTTGTCCCAACCCCAACGGCAGGCATACGGCAGAGGGGCCTTTAAGGTCTGGAGGAATACAGTCTACAGTTTGACGAGGGATTCCTGCTGGGAGGTGGAATTCTGAGTCGGTGGACCTAGCCTTACCATGTGGGTCACCAAGACATACCATATACAATGTTGCCTGTATTTTTTTGAGTTTACTCCCCACCTTTCAAAATATTTAAAAAATTCTCCTTCACATCTCTCAATTTCCTCTTCAGAAATTTAGTTATTAGCATCATACACAAATGGAGTAGCCTGCATTATGAGGCATAGGATTCTGACTTCCTCACATCCTGTTGCTTAGTCCAAGTCTGACTTCCCTCGAGGGTGAGGTAGAGGTGACTTTAACATGTGTCTGACACTGCACAGGGTGGTCCTATGAATCAAATTCAGAAAACTATGTAAAAGCAGTTTGTGAACAGCAGAGGTCTATGAAAAAGCACTATTAGCAGTATTACATTTTAAAATATTACCTACATATCTCATGGACTTAAACAAACAAACAAAGGAAGTACCTACCATCAGTTCTTCTACCTGAAAACCTGTGCTTTCAGAGGTTAATGCACTAAGCCTGGATGGCAGGTATATGGGGGTCTGTATATTACTTCCTGCACTTTTCTCTATGTATGAAATATTTCAAAATAAAAATTTAAGATGTTAAACGAAGATAGAAAATGTCTTCTAAAAGTGTGACATTTTATACCCAGTAAACAGTGAGTTACTATTAGCATCCTTAATGTCACAAGAGTCACTACAGGCCTGCCATCCAAGTACTAGGTCAACATTCTTGGCAGAAAGGTAAAGCCCACCGTCAAAGTAGTGAAAGGCGGATCCTCCAGGTGAGCTGGGAGGGGGCATCCCACGTTCTGGGCTGACCTGAAAGAAGCAACCAGTCACTGATCAGAAAAGGCCAGCCAAACCTCAGTCACATTGTCTTAAGACAAGGCTGTCTCTGCCAGTCCACTGTATGTCCTTCACATCCTGGTTCAAGTCTACCTCCTCCTTGAAACCCATCAGGCTACAGCTGTCTCTCTGTATGTTGTTGTTAGCTGCCATGGAGTCGGCCACCAACTCATAGTGACCCCGCACATAGGGTTGTCACTGGCTGATTTCTGAACGTAGATCGCCAGGCCTTTCTTCCTAGTCTGTCTTAGTCTGGAAGCTACAGTGAAATCTGCTCAGCATCATAGCAATACGCAAGCCTTCACTGATAGACAGATGGTGGCTACACATGGTGTATATTGGCCAGGAATCAAACCCGGGTCTTGGCATGGAAGGAGAGAATTCTACACTGAAACACCACTGCCCTCTCTCAGCTTGTACTAATCACTGAATTCTTCGTGTGTGACCCTATATTTTATACTTGATTACTGAGCTGAATTGTCAGTGTTTTGTATTTTTATCTCTTCTCCATGAGTCAATTATATACTTTAAGGACACCACTGCCTTCCACCAAGAACAGAGGTAAAGAAACAAATACTTTGTGACTATGACATGAAATCGCTTACAAACCTTAAAAGGACAAGGCAAGCCTTTGTATTAAAGAGAATTTTAGCAAGAACCTTTTTAAGTTTCATCGAACTATACACAGTAGCTGTTTTAGTCAAAAGAGACTAAAACAAGATTTTTCTCCTCTGGTCTTTTTCCAGGAGCCCCACCCTACCTGAGAGATGCTGGACACACTGCTGGTCTTCCTCTTCAGGGTACCCTCCTGACAGACCGTCAGCAAATTGCTGGGGAGGATGGAGCGGAAGTCATTGAAGGAACGCCTCCGAACGCCTTCGAGCTCCTCTGGGACTCGGAGGGAATGTGGAGGGATTTTGGGAAAGAGCTTCGACAGGAGAGACTCTTCCATGTTGCTGTAACGCCCAAATGCTCGTGAGATTCCTATCAGGCATGGGACTGCGTATTTGCAAAGGTATTCTGGGAGACAAAGTGAGAAGGTTACAATATGAGAACGTTATCTGTGAGAGAACCATACAGCAACAAGGTGTAACACCTGCTAATATTACACAACCTACGTACTTACAAATCTGAAGGTTCAGAGTAAGCCACAGTACCAGAGTCAACCCGAAGGGCTGACAGATGACATCTGCAATTTGTCATTGACAACAATAACTTCAGACTGTGTCTCCATCACATACAGCTGCTCTCTTTAGGAGGTCTTGATCTGATTCATGGCACATGCAAATCAGTAATATCACTAGGTCACATTAGCATGTACCTGCACTATATTTAGACCTTATACCTCCTAGGACCCTACTGATAGTCTTATATTAGAGGGAAAATGACCTTTGGAGCTCAAAGAATCTATCCAGACATTTTATAGGTAAAGAAACTGAGGCCCAGAAGGGTGAAGTTACTTGTCCAAGGTCACCCAGCATTTATGTAGGACAACCATGATCCTGACCCCCATGTGGCCTCATAACATACTAACACACAACAAATGGAACCTAATATAGATATGTTCTTATCCATCAAGGACACATCAGACACCAAAGAACACAAAAGAAGACTGGGGAGAAGCAAGGGAAAGAGTGACCACAAACCCATTTGGGGAGGAAAAAAAAGAAACACCTTAAGGATCTATAATCATACCTTTTTCTTGAATCTCCAAAGTCTGGCACATTCCCAAAAGGACTTGTAAAACCTGCAAAAGCACCTCCAAAATCTGTAATAGTCAAGAAAACAGAGGGGAAAAAAAAAAAAAAAACCTTATAAACAAAATCAGATAAATATCATAGAATTCAGAATTAGAAGCAGCTTTAGACATTATCTTGTCCAACCTCTATCTGACACATAAACTCCTCGCACCATAGCTCTGTGAGAAGCCAACCAGCTGACCTTCCGGTGACAGAAGCCCTCCTTCACCCAGGGTGGCCCATTCCATCTCTGGACCCGTACAGAGCTCCTCCTAACACTGGGCCAACAGTGTCCTCCTGGGGCCTGCACCCACTGACTCCTGAAGCCATACACAGCAAGCCTCTGTCCTCCTCCATATTCTGGAAACAGACAATAGACCCCCAACTCTTCTGTTCATTACTAAATATCTCTAGTTCCTTCAATTATTCCTTATGATAACAAGTTCTTTGTGATGCTGACTGCCTGCCTCTGATTTCACTGTAGCCCAGTGTGTCTACTTCCATCTCCAAGTGTGGTACTCTGAGTAAGATACATGAATATTCCTGGGAAGCTATGATTCGCCAAGAGCAACCACCAAACTCATTGTGCATTCTAGACTCATATTTGTGTGACATTATCTTTTTAGCAGCCCCACTGCTGGCTCAATGAGCTTACAGATAAATAAAATACTTAATCTTTTTCACGTATGCAGCTCCAGGTCATTTTTTTACTTGTCACTTATCCCTACAAAAGTCCCGCACATTGGCTTTTGCTCATTGGACTAGTCTTTGACCCCCAGCTTTAATCTTCTACCAAGGGGATCTTCATGTATGGCAGTGGCCTGGTTTTGCTTCAGTAGTAGGGGCAAGCCATCGAAGGCTTCTGCTGAGGTGACGCCACAACAGGCACCCTCTGGGGTGGTCCTTCAACACTTCCCTAAACTCTATGAATCATTTTAGCCCTCAGCCCATATTACCGATCCAGGATATCAGAAGAGGTGTGTGATGGTTAAGATTGTGTGTCAACTTGGCTGGGCCATGATTCTCCGTGTTTTAATGTAATCACCCCCATGATTGAATATACTATGAGCAGCCAATCAGATGAAAGGGAGTCTCCTTGAGGGTGTGGCCCGCATCTGTATATACGCAGACGTTCTGGCTTTTTGCTCTCTCTGGATCCTGTGGCTGCTTCCTGTCATCTCATCTCCCTTTCTTGGGACTTGAGCTGTCAGCTTATCTGCCGAACCTGGGATTCGTAGATCTGCACAGCCTGTGAGTGGGAGCCCTGCTCTCCGACCTTCCGATCTTGGGCGTGCCAGCTTCTGCAGCTGTGTGACTTGGGAGAGGCCTCTACCCTGATCCACGGACTTGGGACGTTCTAGCCTCTACAATCGCGTGGGCTGTTTCCTTGATATAATCTCTCTCTATATATATATTTATACACTTTACTGGTTTTGCTTCTCTAGAGAACCCAGCCTAAGACAAGGTGTTTGTCCATGTCTTCGTGAGGGTCAACTTGACTATCCACATCATTTCCCTCAACTACCAGTCTTAGAAAACTCAGGCAAAGAAGAAAATGCAGTTGGTCTGACATGACTTGTTTGTAACCAAGTCAAATTTCTTACTTTTTGTTAATGTTAAACAATGATGAATAACCTACTGCAAGGTGTGGAAACCCCTTACAGTAAACAACTTGGCCTTTGGTCCTGGTTCCTGACAGGAGAACCACACCTGACGGCAATGAGTGGGGGCCGACCCAACCAAGAGGGACCACCTGGGGACCTGATGCTGACTAAGCTTCATGAGGCATGATGTAATTGACCACAGCAACATGGGTAGGCCAATAAAGGCCTTGGAAGATGGAGGCTCAGTTGAGCTTCCTGGGTGGAGAGAGCAAACATTTGCTCTTGGGAGGGTAGGCGCATCCCTTGGGAACATGGATGCTTTGCACAGAGATCCCTTCTGGACCTCGTCCTATGTGTTTCTATCCTTTTTTCTGCTAGATTAAAGACAGCTCTTTCCCTGGAGTTTGTGAGACACTGCACCTGATTATCAGACCTAAGAAACAGAGAAGGGGCTAGTGCCTACTCACCTGGCCCCAGGTGAAGGGGAATGAGACAAGAGGCCAGTGCCTGCTTGTCTGGCCCCAGGTGAACTGAGGATCAGAGAGAGAGGGGACCAGTACCTGCTGATCTGGCCCTGGTGAATGGGGATGAGAGAGAAGGGGCCAGTGCCCACTGACCTAGCCCCGGGTGAATGGGAATGAAAGAGAAAGGGCCACACTGGCAGGTGGGGTCCAAATTGACCAGGGAAGGGAGGCTGAGATTTCCACAGAATGCATCTGGCGTGTGGAGTGGGATTTATCATCCATCACACGTGTGGCATCAGAAGGAGATGATCACTCCTGGTGAAGAACCAGATGGTATCCGGTGGAAAACCAGCACCGTGAGTTTAAACAGCCTGCAATGGCCGCCATCTACGAGCTTGACCAAGTCCAGGTATTGATCATGGATGTGTTATCTCCAAACTCTGATCAAAAGGGGGGACTGATTTAGGAAATAATATTGGAGTTATTATTCCTTCTCCTTGAGCATACAGAATGTGACCCAGCTGGAGCTGGGCTCACAAGGGCTCACAAGGACTCACAAGGATACATCAACTGGGCCCTGAGGTATAAAGACAATAGCTAAGATAATCTTGGAAAACATCTTTTAGGGAAACTCTCACATAAAGCCCATCAAACAGAACACAAAAGACTTTCCACTCTTATCTTTTTCTATTAGCATTTAGTGAATAGAAATTTGTTGGACCAATGAAGACCCTCCTGACTCTCGTTACTGAAACCTGTACCAATGATTGTTAAGAAAAACAATTTAAAATGTAGGATCACAGTTTCTAGCCAAACTGAAAAGGCTAAGCTTTCAATGGTTTCGCCCATTTTTAATGTTAATATATACTGATGGCTCTGTAACTGTTCTTTGGACATGGCTGTGGCAGCATGCTTGTCTGTTTTCCCATTCTTGCCTATTCTGTAATATTCTATGGTCTTGGGCAGACATGGCTCTAGCAGCATGCTTGTCCGTTTTCCTACTTTTGTCTGTTCTGTGATATTTCCTTGGACTCGGGCAGACATAGCTCTAGCAGCATGATTGTCTGCTTCCCACTTTTGTCCTTTCTGAATACATGCCAAATAAAACTTTCCTTTTGCTTTAAAAAAAAAAAGAAGTAGATGATCACAGCCTCCCTAGACTGGTTTGATACAACAGGCAACTTTGGCTGGACTCGCTTAAGTGGTCCTGCCTTTGCACCTATGAAGACCTAAAAAGCAACACCTTCTCCATTTCATATATTAAGCCATCATCTTTGATGTTTTATCTTGATATATTTTACTCATTGAAAAGTCCTTAACTTATAGCCTGCTAACTTTTTCTAATAATAATATACAATTCAAACATATCTAGCTATCTCTTTAGTCAAACTACAAATAAATGACGAACCTAAGTTTGAAAGGGAGATGAAAAAGAATGTAAGGAAAGAAATACTGATAGCAGAATTTACAGTGTGATATCAAGAAAAGAGATTTTAAAAATTAAAAAGCAGATACTAGGACTCAAAAAGCATAGATAGCTGGGAACACTTAGCATACAGGCAAGCAACTAGCCATACCTTGGCAGGACCCGAGAAAAACAGTGTATAAAAACTGACTTTCAAAATGATAAATCTGATTAATTTTAAAAAAGTTTAAATTATGATTATATTCTTTGTTTTAAAAGGAGGGAAGCACAAAAACATTTAATAAAATTTCCAACAAAATTAAACAAAACTTAAACAGCTTGGGCACTTAAAGGTATAAGCTTCAACTATCTAGAAAATTCCATTCTATGAACAACTCCACTCCCCAACCTAGAGTCAGAAAAATGAGCTGCCTGTGCCTTTTGCTGCCTACTTCACATGGTCATTGGGAAAGTCCAATGAAATAACACTCTGAAATCACTTGGGAACCTGAAAAGTCCTATAAGCAATTATTAAACATTTTTTGTATCTGCTATTAATAATACAGAAGAAATCAAACAAATAGTCCAATTACGCTTTTTTTTCTTTTACTTTTTCCATCACTTTGGGACTCTCCTTGCTCTCACAATCACACCAAGCCAGCACATCCTCACCTCATCTCTAAGGGAAGGGTCCCTATACGCTACATCAGACAGCAAAGTCACCAAGCAGAAGCTGAAGTTCTCCGCAACTGGGAGGGCACCTGAAAGATGAAAAGACACAAAGCAGATCATCAGAAATGAGATAATGGGCCATGCCTGCTGGCCACCCAATTCAGTATTTCTCCTCTCACGTGGACTGCCAAAGGGCCAGGCTATCGTGGCTGCCCTCCTTGAGACGTGGGGCTAACACATTTGCTGGGAATACCCCACCTTTATTTTTAAAAATGTTTTGCTTCAATAAACGTCAATGTCTCCTAAGACAATTTATAGTTTGAGATTGCAGAGCCTCTCAACATAGCAGACTCCATTTTTTATTCCCTACCTAAATGAAAGTGAGAATCCAATCTTGTTAGAGTGTAAGACACTGTAAATGGAAGTTAACTGTCAAATACCTATTACTACACCTTTAAACTGAATAAAATGGTGTTTATATTTTCTTTTCTGCTTTATTTTAGCAAATGGGGAAAATCCTAAGAGCTTTCAAAGATTTGCTCTATTCTCCATAAGTTTTTAAGTCCTTCCCTACTAAGCCTTCTACCAGGGAGGTTCTTAGGAGCATGGCCATCAAGGTTGGGAAGGGATCACTACACCTGAAAGACCAAAAGCTAAGGAGCACGTCTATCAAATGAACCTTCAAAGTGTTAGAACCTTCAAACTGGCATCTAGGTCTAATCATTATTAAATATTTAATCAATTTTGAATATTGAATACTGAACAAAGGACATAACACTATTTTACAAATGCTATTTTATGAACTTACTCACAGTACATGGCAGAAAACTGTTACATTACTTCTGGCTTTTAATTTTAAAATGTCACCCTTGGCTCCTCCAGGTCTTTCTCCAGCTTGAGTGCGTATCCGCATCACCTGGAGGGCTTGGCAAAAGACAAACTGCCTGTTTCCCACCCCAAGATACTGATTCAGTAGATCTGATATGGGGATGATGTGCATTTCTCACAAGTGCTCAGGTGATGTTGATGCTGCTGGTCTAGAGATGACAGTTGCAGAACTACTACTCTAGAGTTTAAAAGCTTAAGTTGTTACTGCTGTTGTTAGCTGCCATCGAGTCGCCCCTGACTCGTGGTAACCTCATGCACAATGGGATTGGAGCACTGTGATCCATAGGGTTTTCAATGGCTGATGTTCTGAAGTAGATTGCCAAGCCTTTCTTCCTAGACCTTCTTAGTATGGAAGCTCTGCTGAAACCCCTTCAGCATCATAGCAACATGCCTCCACTGACAGATGATGATGGCTGTACATAAGGTGCATTGACTGGGAATCAAATCCAGATCTCCCACATGGAAAGCAAGACTTCTACCACTGAACCACCACTGCCCTCTAAAGCATAAGTAATACTGCCTTAAAAAAATATGTGAAATATTGTGCAATAATTAGAAATTTATGTCTCTAACAATGTTTAAATAATGCTAAAACTTTAATTTTAATATGAATTCATGTACACAGGAATGACATTTGTTTTGAAATTTAAAGAAAGAAAAACCCAATGCCACTGAGTTGACTCTGACTCATAGTGACCCTATAGGACAGAGCAGAACTGCCCCAACAGGGTTTCCAAGGAGTGCCTGGTGGATTCGAACTGTTGACGTTTTGGTTGGAGGCGAGCTCTTAACCACTGTGCCATCAGGGCTCCAAAAAAAAAAAAAAAGAAAAGAAAACACCATCAAAACCTACTAGTATTCTATTTCTTCCCAAATCACATAACACAGTAGTGGACACAGATGTTTAACTTTTTAGAAACAGCACTCCCTCTATTTGCATTTGTGGACCCTCAAACTTCAGAATGCATACATAATTTTGGTGGCAGGTACCAAAAGAGTCTGTCAGTTTTCGTCATGGTAGGCCACCAGAAATGAGGAGAAGCCAAAGTTCAAGAGGAATACAGGTACAGGTAGATGTTCATTAGCTAAACAGACTGAGTCCACCCAACAAACCAGGGCTATTCCACCAACAAAAAGGATTACGGTCTTCTTTACAGGCACCAACCCCGGCTATAGGCAAAGGTGGGCCACAAGTCTAACGGAGGAAGACCACAAGGAAACTTCAGTCTCATGGGTTGTGAACCCTAAAATGGTGGAGATCTTCCAAGCTGATTTTGGAATCTCTGGAAATCAGTATGCGAGAGCATCAGCGTTTTAAGTGTTCTAGCACAAATGCTTGGCAGATAGTGGAACTATGTAAATATTTTTGAAGGAAAGAAGGGAGGGAGGGGGGGATGGAAAAGGTAAGAAAGGGGAAAGAGGAAAAGACTATTTTACCTTTCCCTTTGATCTTGAAGAAAAATCAAAACACAAGTTAAAAAGAAAGACATACTTAGTGGTATCTCATTGTGGTTTTGATTTGCATTTCTCTGATGACTAATAATACTGAGTATCTTTTCAGGTGCTTATTGGCCATTTGTATATCTCCTCTGTAAAAATGTCTGTTTAGATTTTTGTCCATTTTAAAACTGGGTTGTCTTTTCACTATTGAGTTATAAGTGTTCTTTATGTATTCTGGATACAAGCCCCTTACCAGATATATGAATTGCAAACATTTTCTCCCATTCTATGGGTTATCTTTTCACTTTCTTTTTTTTTTTTTATCAAAATTTTAGTTCCACATTCCATGAAAATGAGTAATGGTTCCTTTTAATAACTATAAAATTGAATGGAAGAAGAAAAATAAGGTTCAAACAGCACACACGGCACTTGCTCATGTTGGGTGTTACAGCATTAGGTATACGCAGTACATTGCTATAACCAGGCAAACATATTTCTGTCCATTTTCCCTAGGTGCAGCCACAATCGCTGTTGCTCATGTCCAACTTCCAAGTGTAATATGGTTGTGCTTGCTTTGTTGGAGTTCAGGCCACATGAGGAGCTGCAGCTGATAGAATGCAGTTCAGTTTTGCAGCCTCTTTACTACAAGGTAGCACACCAGAAGGGGCCCGAAGTCTCTTTTGAGTTAAGTATAAGTGCCAGAGTAGACACAGGTGATTTAACTTCTTCACATGGACCACGTATCATCTTAGGGGTTAGAGGCTGATGCGTGCTGAATTCACCCAACAATCCAATTCAATAAAATCTTTATGGTAGGTACTAGGTGCTTCAAGATTTCTTATGCTTCCTGTGTTCTGTCTTTCTTCATTAGAATACATGCTCTATAAGAGCAGGCATTTTTATTTTTTTTACTGCTATATTCTAAATGCTTACTACAATGCCTGCAAAGAGTACGTGTTCAATAAATTTTTTTTGTGTTAGTTAATTAACTTTCGTCCCTCGATATGGCTAAATGAGAGGAATTCCCTGTCCCAGTAATATGAAATGGAGCCCCTGGGTGCAAATGATTAACACACTCAACTGCTAAATGAAAGATGGGAGGTTTGAGTCCATCCAGGGATCTTTTCACTTTCTTCGTGATGTCCTTGGAGCACAAAAGATTTTGTCAATTAAGGGTAAGAGTTGAACAACTTGATGAGTGCAACTGATATCACTAAATTGTACACCAGAAAAAGAGCAAAATAACAAATACTGTGGTACATATAATTTTGCAACAGCAACCCAAAAAAAAAAGAGGCTAAAGTTGCTGATACTACTTAGAGGTACATTCAAACACCTGATGGGATTAGTTGTGTTGGTTGAAAGGTTCAGGACCATGGCTTCATGGACTGTCCAGTCAATTAGCCTAGTACTATTTTTAGAGTTTCTGTTCCACTACCTAGTTCGATGAGTAGTGCCTAGGACTTACAAGCTTGCCAGACGCCACCCAAAATACAAATGAGTCTCTATTCACCTGAAGCAGCAAAGGAAGGAGGAAATCCAGGAACTGGAGAAGGAACAAGACTGCAGGTGTAACTACCTCCATGAACTACTGCCTCCTTTGCTATAGACCAGGAGAACTGGATGGTGCCCGGCTACCATTACTGAACATTTTGATCAAGGAATCACAGATGAATCCTTATTAAAAGGGAAAAAAATGTGGAACAGAATTTTAAATTATTACAGAATCCACACTTACTGGACTATTGCGACTGCAGAAACCCCCAAATCTATCACACTGAGAAAATCTTCAAACCCAGCTGAGAAAATCTTCAAATCGTGAGCCAAAATTACGCCCAAAGACATCTTTAAACTAAACAACGGTTTAGCTAAATTAGTAAAGAATGTTCGCCATAAGCATTTCGTTCTTTTAAAAAATTATCTATATAAAATAAAACTGAGAACAGTAACTCTAAAGCATAGATGAGAAGTTCAGGAGGCAGTGAGTCTAAGTAAATGGTGATGAAACAATATGAGCAGACACGGTGAGAATGGTGACACAACATGAAGAATGCAACCAATGTTATTGAATTATATACGCAGAAATTGTTTAATGGGTGTACTACTGTGTATATTTTCACCAAAATTAAAATTTAAAAAAAAAATTTAATTTTGGCCAATTTATCTTTTTTTTTCCTTTTGTTGCTTCTGCTTTTGATGTCATATCTAAGAATCCTTTCCCAAATCCAAGGTGATAAAGACTTGTGTTTTTTTCTAAGAGCTTTATGGTTTTAGCTCTAATATTTAGGTCTTTGAGTTAATTTTTGTATGTGGTATGAGGTAGGGGTCCAACTTCATTCTTCTGCATGTGGAAATTCAGTTGTAGCAGAACCATTTGTTGAAAAGATTCTTCTTTCCTCCATTGCATGGTCCTGGCACCACTGTTGAAAATCAACTGATCATAGATGTGTGGGTTTATTTCTGGACTTTTAATTCTATTCCACTGATCTATATGTCTATTCTTGTGTCAGTACCACACAGTCTTGATTACTATTGATTTAGTTTTGAAATTGGGAAGTGTGAGTTCTCCTACTTTGTTCTTTTTCAAGATTGTTTTAGCTATTCTTGGTCCCTTGCAATTCCATATGAATTTTAGAATCAGCCTATCAATTTCTATAACGAAGTCAGCTGGGATTCTGATGAGGACTGCATTGAATCTTTCGATCAGTTTGGGGAGCACTGACATCTTAATATTAAGTCTTTTAATCCATGAACACAGGATGTCTTTCTACTTATTTAGGTCTTCTTTAATTTCTTTCAGCAATTTTTTATTGTTCTCAGTGTACAAGTCTGGTACCTCACTGGTTAAATTTATTCCAAGTATATCTTATTCTTTTTGATACTACTGTAAATGTTTTAATTTCCTTTTCAGATTGTTCATTGCTAATGTACTGAAATACAACTGAATTTTGTGTGTTGATCTTGTACCTGCAACTCATAGTATCAGTGGAGAAACTGGAGAAGTAAACTCTCAAAATGAGCAGGAACCAAAGAAGGCCAAGATGCCAATGGCACTGCTACCACTAAGTATTCAATGTCCCTAATATTCCTAGGCTCTCTGATGGCTACTTCTACTGTGAGTTATTTCTCCATTGTCTCCTTAAAATTTAAAGTCAAAATCAAAACCACAACAAGATACCACTTCACACCTACCAGGATGGCTAAAATCAAAAAGCTCGATAATAACAAGGGTTGTAGCGAATATGGAGAAGTTAGAACTCTCATACACTGATGGTAGGAATGTAAAATGGTACAGCTCCTTTGGAAAACAGTCTGACAGTTCCTCAAACAATTAAACACAGAATTACCATGACCTAGCAGTTCCACTTATACATATATACCCAAGAGAAATGAAAATATTTGTCCAAAGAAACCTGTACATGAATATTTATAGCAGCATTATTCATAATAGCCAAAAGGTAGAAACAACTCAAATGTCCATCAACTGAAAAATGGATAAACAAAATGTGGTATATCCATACAATGAAATATTACTCAACCATAAAAAGAAAAAATACTGATACATGCTAAAACATGGATGAATCTTGAAAACATTATGCCAAGTGAAATAAGCCAGTCACAAAAGACCACATATTATATGAAGTCCAGGAGTTAGAAACCTCTAGAGACAGAAAACGGATTGGTAATTGTTTACAGCTGGGGGTGGGGTGATGGTGGTTGGGAAATAGGGGGTTAATAGTTAAAGGGTATATGAGGGTTCTTTTTGAGGTGATGAAAACGTTCTAAAATTGACTGTGGTGACAGTTACACATAACTGTGAATATACTAAAAACACTGAATTGTACACTTTAAGTGGGTGAACTGCATGATATGTGAATTAACTCTCAATCAAGCTATTTATAAAAAGGAAAAATACACATGAATTTACTATATTTCTAAAAGTGCAGAGTTTGAGACTTAGCAATAGCAGTAAAGTGATAAAACTATTTATAATGAACACTGTGGTCGAGTCCCAACATCCGTGGCACTCTTCTCTTTGAGCAGCAGCAATGCCACCTGGAGAACTGACCTCAATGCCACAAGAACCAAAAACCCACTGCCATCGAGTCGATTCCAATTCATAGCAACCCTAGCACTGTCCCCATAGGGTTTCCAAGGCTGTAAATCTTCACGGAAGCAGACTGCCACATCTTTCTACAATGGAGCAGCTGATGGGTTCAAACCACTGACCTTTCAGCTAGCAGCAGAGTATTTTAACCACTGTGCCACTAAGGCTCCATCACTCCACGAGGGAGCCTCCCAATCTAAGGGTAATTGAGACTGGCTGGGGGATGGGCAGGTAACCCAATTCTGGCAAATGAGACATGAGACAAGGTTCCTGAAGGTCTCAATGTTCTCGTTCACTCTCAATACAATGGAAAACCTGCCTACTTAGTCCTGCCTCGCCCTCCTTGGCTCATGTGCTGTGGACATGAGTAAACTCAGCCCACACTGCAGCAGACAGTCATCCTACAGCAGGAGATACACCAGCTAGAACCATCCTAACTATACCTGATCCTTACAGAGCACAGAACATATATACTCAGGGAAAATATTACACAAAATTACCTCTGCCCTTCCGAGCTGTGCTTTCTTCTACCCAATATACTTTGGGAAGACCTTTGAGAAGCCGAAGAAGGTAAGGAACAATGGAAGCTTTGTGCTAAAAGAGAAAGATCACGTTTAATGAAACATATCACTAGTATCTTTTCAGCGTAAGTTAACCCCAAAGCAAAGTAAGGCACATCCACATCCTAATCATCTCAAAGATTCTTCAGGGATAATGTAAACTGCACGTAAATTCACACAGCATCTCAACACTCTTCTTTTCCTGCAGTGGAGTCCGAGCTCTGTCAGGTCCAAGTGAAGAGGTCTAACCTGTCCTTCTGGAGCTCAAGGTCTGCAGTGGCTCTGGCCACCACTGGAGCCGGGCCCTTACAAGGGGCTATCCAGAAGAAGGTTATATGTGTGCATATATACTCAAAACTGTGTACATCGAGAGAAGCACTGATAGCCCCCAACCCCATCAACAGACCCCAGGTAAGAGCTTCTGGACTGAGTGATGCTTCTGTTGTTCATGGCCTTTGTCCACTTTCCTTTTTTCTTTTTTTTTTTTACATTTTCTCCTTCATGTTTCCTCTTGCTCTTCTCAGATTACACATTAGACTTTATAGCCAATTATTAGCTCGATGGAAAAATTATTTTCTTCTAGTTTCCAAACTAGCCAATCAACATATAACTTCATAATCTTCCATCGTTGGCTGTTTTATTTCCCTATTTATAGTTGCTCCAGATAAGGGGAATACTATTTAATGTTCTGAAATACTAAAAAGAAAACCATGTGGTATAAGCACTATGCATTTTTAAGAACTATCTATATGGGATCAAAGTGACAACAGAAATTCGAAAGATTAGATAGGAATCTTAGGGGGCAGTGAGTTTATGTTAATGGGGGGTGTGAATGTGTAAAAATGGCGATGTGGGTTGTCGGACCTCCTCATCTAACTTCACAAGGGGGGAGGAAAATTATTATCAGCATCAAAAGCCCACAGCTGATTGCTAGGAGGTGGAGGTCAGACATATCTCCACCCTCTAACTTTTTTACCAATTCTGATACCAGCCATCTCTCCCATAGCAGTCTCTGTTTCTCTGCTGGGTTCAATAACTCATTGCAATGGACACAAAGAACTCACAGACCATACTCACAGTTATGGGGTTTATTAGGGAAGTAACAGGTGTCTTAGATATCTAAAACTAAAAACCAAACCAACTACCACTGAGTCGATTCTGACACATAGTGACCCCCTAGAGTTTCCAAGGCTGTAAATCTCTACAGAAGCAGACTGCAACATCTTCCTCCCACAGAGCAGCTGGTGTTTTCAAACCGCTGACCTTTCAGTTAGCAGTCATGGCTTTAACCACTGCACCACCAGGGCTTCTTCTTAGTTATCTAGTGCTGCTGTAACAGAAATAGCACAAGTGGGTGGCTTTAACAAACCTAAATTTATTTTCTCACAGTCTAGGAGGCTAGAAGTCTGAATTCAGGGTACCAGCAGTAGAGGAAGGCTATGTCTCTCCGTCAGCTCTCGAGAATGGTCCTTATCTCTTTGAGTTTTTGCTCCTGAGCAATCTTCATGTGGCTTGGCATCTCTCTTCTCCTGGGTCTAGGAGGTTCTCAGCACAGGAACCCCAGGTCCAAAGGATGCACTCTGCCCCCGGCTCTTCTTTCTTGGGGGTAGTGAGATCCTTCCCCTCTCGGCTTGCTTCTGTCTCCTTATATCTCTTATGTGTGTGTATATACATATATATAACTGGCAGCTTCCACTGAGCCTCAAGGACACCAGGATATATATAGTTAAGTCACTAAATTACAGGGTAGTCTGTTATTCCACAACAGGTAACTGGAACAAATAGGGAATTTTTCTCTAGCAAAAACAGATGGCTCTTTCCTATAGAAAGAGTTACGGTTTTTGTAGCACATTGTGAGTAAAACCACCTCTGGCCACAGGTGCTGCCAAGGCAGCATCCTGACTGGACAAAGACGAGGTCAATGCCACAGCCCATCCCAGACAGAGGGAAGTCATGTAAACTTTCCTAACATACCACAATTAAACTTGGAATTAAACAATGATTCTCAGTAATGATAAAAAGAGATAGATAATACATTATCCATCCAGTGATCAATTATTTGCTTCAATTAGCCTCTGTTGTTGTTGTTGTTGTGTGCCGTTGAGTTGATTCTGACTAACAGCCCTGGTGGCACAGTGGTTAAGAGCTCAGGCTGCTAACCAAAAAGGTCGGCACTTCAGATTTACCAGCTGCTCCCTGGAAACCCTGTGGGGTAGTTCTACTCTGTCCTATAGGGTTGCTATGAGTCAGAATCAACTCTACAGCAACGGGTTTTCATATGACAAGGCAGAACTACCCCATAGGGCTTCCTAGGCTATAATCTTTACGGGAGCAGATTGTCAGATCTTTTCTTCTGTGAAGTCATAAATACAAAAAATAATAGCCACACCATTTTCTGTTGGAGCTACAAAGTTGGTTTTTAAATCCCTCTCAAAAGGTACATTAAATATATTCTAAAACTTAATTTATATCTAACTCAGTTCTGAAAAATTATCTTAAATAATACTGTCCTTTTGGAAGGAAAGAAATGGTTACACAGATTCTGCCTAGTGTTTTACCTGGAACTGAAATCAAGTAAATTCTAGAAGGCACATAATTACTTCACAAAGTATTTTACATGTTCTGCTCACTCCACCCTCAAAAAAAAAAAAAAACTTTATTTTTAACTTCACAATATATTCACACAGTTCTCAACACAGATTTACATAAGCTATACAGTAAGAAATATCATTCCCATCTGTTCCATCGCCCTCCCTTCAACCACTTTTATTAGGGTCCTATACATGCTTCTAATATTTTTATACAAATACAAGCAAATACAGATTTAAATTCTAAGTATCCTCCCCTTTTACAATGCAGAAATACTTTTAATTTAATGAAGACCTACCTGTAGATCTGACTCAATGAGAAAAACACCCAGTGCAATAACCGCATCTCTCCGCCTTTCATCTAGTTGGAAGATCCCGTGGAAATCCACTGGGCACATGCAAAGCAGCTTTTGGACCTAGGAAATAAGACCGAAAACCGAGAAGATATAAGCCCACATTCAGAATAAACCGATACCACCAAAAGTCAGTGAATCTACATAACCCATATGTCACTTTTTTTTCAATAAAAAGATCATAGAAAGGATTATCTCCAGCTTTTGAAATGATACACACATCCCCAAAAAACATACACTTTGAGGAACCTGGGCCCAAAAATGAAAATGACTTCCACACAAAGGAGGTGAAGCACCTGGGCCATCACTTCCTAGCAGTGTGCCTTTGGGCCAGTTACCCAAATCTACCCACAGGAACTACACCTACCCTTAAGGCTCTTTTTTAAAGTATATAAAGCACTTAGGACTGTGCACAGTACACACCAAGTACTCAATAAACAACACCTATTGTCACTGGATATGCCATAATGGTGGTGAGCAAGCAGGACAAAAATCAGTAACTTAAGACACAAATGGAAACATTAGGACCATCTTCCAAAACAACCAAGAGCAAATGTCTGCCATAAAGGAACTAAAAATTTGAACTTACTATAAAAAGAAAAACAGGTGATGCAATCTAGACAATCTATGCCACAAAAAGTACTGAACAAGGCAGTAAGAAATACCAGGAGGCCCTGGCCTTGCTGTGTCGCTGCAGCCCCAAAGGAGAAGTCACTTACTGACATTTGTGTTGTCGTGGTAGAATATGCTAAAAGTTAAGAAAATCAAGTGTATTGCTTGGCACTTGTACTGAAAATGCATTAATTAATTATGACTATAGTCCCTAGAGTCCCAGTGGTGCAGTGGTTAAGAGCTCAGCTGCTAACCACAGCACTGGCAGTTCAAATCCCACCAGCTGCTCCTTGGAAACCCTATGGGGCAGTTCTACTCTGTCCTATAGGATCGCTATGAGTTGTGATCAACTCGACAGCAATAGGTTTGGTTGGTTTTTTACAGTCCGTGGAAGGAGGCCTGGTGGTACAGCAGTTAAAGTGCTTGGCTGCTAACCAAAAGGTCAGGAGTTCGAACCCACTAGCTGCTCTGTGGGAGAAAGATGTGGCAGTCTGCTTCCATAAAGATTAACAGCCTTGAAAACCCTATGGGGCAGTTCTACCCTGTCCCATAGGGTCGCCGAGTCAGAATCAACTCAATAGCAGTGGATTTGGTTTTCGCTACAGTCCCCGAGTAGTGCAAATGGTTAAGTGCTTCACTACTAGCTGAAAGGCTGGCAGTTCGAACCCAACCAGAGGTTCTTGGGAAGACAGGCCTGGCGATCTGCTTCTGAAAGTTCACAGCCTTGAGAACCCTATGGAGCACAGTTCTACTGTGCACACATGGGGTCACTATGAGTTGGAATTGACTGGACAGAAACTAACAATAATAACATAATTTAAAAAAGAAAACAAATTGCTTTATGTGCTCTTTATTTTAAAAGGGCAGGCACAAAGGGACAACAGGCCTGAAAGGAAAGATCTTATAACCTGACTGTAACAGATTGAATTCTGTTCCCCAAAAATACATGTCAACTTGGGTACTCCATGACTCCCAGTATTGTATGACTGCCCACCATTTTCTCATCTGAAGTGATTTTTCTATATGCTGTAAATCCCACCTCTACATTGTTAATAAGGTGGGATTAGCAGCAGTTACGTTAATGAGGCAGGACTCAGTCTAAAAGATTAAGTTGTGTTTTAAGCCAATCTCTTTGAGATATAAAACAGAGGAGCAAGGAGGGGGGACCTCACACGACCAAGAAAGCAGCACCAGGAGCAGAGCATATCTTTTGGACCTGGGGTTCCTGTGCTAAGAAGCTCTCAGAACAGGGGAAGATTTATGATAAAGACCTTCCCCCAGAAGCGACAGAGACGGAAAGCCTTCCCCTAGAGCTGGCACCCTGAATACAGAATTCTAGCCTCCTAGACTGTGAGAGAATAAATTTCCCTTTGTTAAAGCCACTCACTTGTGGTATTTCTGTTATAGCAGCACTAGATAACAAAGATAGAATTTGGTACTGAGAGTGGCGTGCTGCTCTAACAGATACCTAAAATGTGGAAGCAGTTTTGAAACTGTGAATGGATAAAGGCTAGAAGAGTTTTAAAGTGCCTAAAAGTAAAAGCCAAGATTGCCTTGAAGAGACTGCTGGTGGAATTATGGACATCAGACAATTCTGGTGAAGACTCAGATGGAAATGAGCAGAGCTGTTATACTGGTGACCACACAGATGCCAAGAAGCAGCAGCAAAGAACCTGCAGCAGCAGAACCAGAAGACCAGCACAAAATGGCGCTGGAGCCAACCCACAGAGCGGAGTGAGACAGCTGGGAGCCTTCCAGCCAAAGATTACTGGCAAAGTAGGGTATCTCCAGGCACTTATCCGTGGAGCTACAGAGCTTTGGAACACTTGCCCAAGCAGGGCAGATGGCAAGGCCCGAGGGGCCAAGAGGCCAAGGAACCAGGAAGCAGAAGCTGAAGTGACAAGGAACACAGGAAGCAGAGCTGCCTCAGTCTCATTGGGTAGGGCCATAACCTCCGAGGTCTCAAAGGGTAGAGCAGACATCCCCCGAAGCTAAAGCGGCACAGTTGCCTTTCTAGTGGGCCTGAAAGTCAGAGCTGAAGCCCAGGGCTGAGGGGCCTCCACTCAGAATGTGGAGAATGTGGCCAACGCCCAGAGTCTGGAGGGCAGGGCATTGTATAAATGGTCTCAGAGAACAGAGGATTATTTCCAAGCCTAGAGGGCTAATGTAATGTGTCCTGCTGACTTGCTTGGTGCCTGTTATCCCTTCTTTCCCTCCAATTTCTCCCATTTATAATGGAAATGTCTAGCTTGTGCCTGTTCCACCATTGTACTTTGGAAGCAGATAACTTATATTCCAGATTTCACAGATGAAAAGGAATTTTTGGATTTTGGACTTGGAGTTAAGACTTTTGCTATGATATGTTGGGGTGAATATGTTTTACATGTGACAAGGACATGAATTTTTGGGAGCCAAAGGGTGGAATGTCATGGATTGAACTGTGTACCCCAAAAATACATGTCACCTTGGCTAGGCCATGATTCTCAGTATTCTGTGATTGTCCACCATTTTGTCATCTGATGCGATTTTCCTATGTGTTGTAAATCATAACTCTATGATGTTAATGACGTGGGATAAGTAGCTGTTATGTTAATGAGGCAAGACTCAATCTACAAGATTAGCTTGTGTTTTAAACCAATCTCTTTTGAGATATGAAAGAGAGAAGTGAGCAGAGAGGGGGGTGGACTTCATACCACCAAGAAAGCAGTGCCAGGAGCAGAGTGTGTCTTTTGGACCCAGGGTTCCTGCCCTGAGAAGCTCCCAGACCAGAGGAAGATTGATGACAAGGACCTTCCCCTAGAACCGACACAGAGAGAAAGCCTTCTCCTAGAGCTGGCACCCTAAATTTGAACTGCCAGCCTCCTAGACTGTGAGAGAATAAATTTCTCTCTGTTAAAGCCATCCACTTGTGGTGTTTCTATTATAGCAGCACTAGATTACTAAGACACTGACCAAAGGTGCTGTCAAGTTGACCCTGACTCATGGCAACCCACGTGTGTCAGAGTAGAACTGTGACTCTTAGGGTTTTCAATGGCTGACTTTTTGGCAGTAGTTCACCAGGCCTTTCTTCCGAGGTGCCTCTGAGTGGACTTGACCCTCCAACCTTTGGGTTAGCAGCTGAGTGCATTAACCATTTGCACCACCCAGGACTCCTTACAACCTGAAGAGAGGCCATATTTTTTATCTAATAATTTTCCTTCTAGGAATAATTTTACAGAACTAGTCAGAAAGTCAAGCAAAGGTTATATAAATATATATTTATCTCCATGTTATGTATAATAATAAAAAACTTCAAACAATCTAAATATTCAAATTAAGAGAATAGTTAAGTAAATTATTATTTAATTATTGATTCAATCCAATAACTGATAAAATATTAGGCTGAACCACGTGAAATTGCTGATATTCAATCATTTTTGATCCACAAAAATGATGTTGAGTTCAATCTAATACTGCAGAGATATTAAAAATGGCATTTTCCAAATGTTTAGGGGACACTGAGATTCTGTTAAGGGTGACAGAAAAATTCAGGAAAGGTTACTAGTGATGGCTGAAAACAGGATGAATATAATTAATGTCCCTGAAACGTACATGCAAAGATTATACAAATGGCAAATATTTGTTGCCTATATATTTATACTAAAGATATTAAAAAAAAACTTTGACAAAAAATAATAAAGTGTTTTTCTTAGATAATGACAGGGAAAAATGCTCTAAATGTCTGTAAACCCATGAGAGGAATAACCTTAATTACTGTATCTAGAAAAAATACTGGAATAAAATATATCAAAATGTTAATAGTTTTGAGAGAGAGGATGACCAGTGATTTTACTTTTCTTCTTTGTGTTCTTCTGTATTTTCCAAAATATGTTCCATGGGAAAATATTACACATATAATCAGGAAAAAAGTCCAGTACATAAAAATAAAAATATATACGTATGAAAAATAACTCCTTAGGTGGCTAAGAGACACATGAAGAAATGCTTGCAATCATTAGCCATTAGAGAAATGCAAATCAAAACTTCGATGAGATACCATCTCACCCTGACAATACTGACACTAATCAAAAAAACAAAATAATAAACGTTGGAGAGGTTGCGGGGAGATTGGAACTCTTAAGCACTGCTGGCAAGAATGTAAAATGGTATAACCACTACGGAAAATGATATGGCGACTCCTTAAAAAGCAAAAATAGAAATACCATACAATTCAGCAATCCCACTCCTGGGACTATACCCTAGAGAAATAAGAGCCGTCACATGAATAGACACGTACACACCCATAGACACGTACACACCCATGTTCAGTGCAGTACTATTCACAATAGCAAAAAGATGGAAACAACCTAAGTGCCCATCAACAGATGAATGGATAAACTACGGTACATACACACAATGGAATACTACACAACAATAAAGAACAATGATGAATCCATGCAACATTTAACAAC